TGGGAACAGAATGCACGAGTTCTGAATCAGTGAAAAGCCGCCAATTTCTAGTAATACGGATGAAAATGTTAGATCATGGTGTAGCAATGTCTCCTTTTCAGTCAGCCTATAATGAGATATTTATCTTGTCCTTCGGCCATGACCTAATTTCCGAGGGTTCCTTATTTTATTTCAATGCCCGGAACAATAGTGACTAGACAAAATCAGGACATCGTCACTTCCGGCAATACCAGCCCTACAGTGTGTTTAGACCCCCTCATGTTCTATCTGGGAGGTCTTATCGCGTATGTCTAGGTGCCAAAAGTGGCACGGCTACTTGATTCCTTTAGTACTCCTCGATCTCACGTACGTGTTTTTAAAAGAATAATTAGAGTACAAAAATAGAAGTAACAATTGCGGGCATTAGCTGTGGCCTAGTTGCTTACTGTGTCATGATATCATCGATAAATTAGCTTTTGGAACAGATACAATATAATATGAGCTCTTTAAAAGACATGGTAAGCATAGACCGTATAGTTGCTTGCTTACTGATAATCCAAGTTGAATAATAACAAGCAGATAAAAGATTGAGTAGAAATAGCCGAATATACACGACTGTGACCATTATAATAATTATACAACTGTCTTCGATTAAACAAAAGGAAACAACAATTCCCTGTCCTTTTACGATATAAATATTATAGCAATTTGACATAATGTATTTCCACAAGACAAGGATCGCCTTGGACCGACCTCGGAGTCGAACCTATTTATTTTCCGTTTCGTGGAATGAAAATTAATTGTTCAACCTAAAATGTCACACACTGTAAAATATAGCTGTAAAGAATGAAAGAGACAGATGAAAGGCAGATGGAGTGAAAGAGAAAGTGAAGAAATTAAAGTTTAATCATCACGAGGTTACTTGATTGAATATTGCATCTGAACAGAGTTCATACCCGGTGAAGTAAAGATACAAATGCAGGCTGTTTTTATATCGTATTCATATTATACCTTATATTTTCAAGATCGTATTTTACAGGTAGGATAAGGTGAGTCTAAAATTTGGACAAACAACATATCAAATTCCTAAAGGGCCATGTTGTTTTATACATGTAGGTACATGTACGAGTTTTCTATAATAGGAAGTTTAATATAAACATCAATTATGAATCCTGCCTATTTTCCGTCTAAGCATATTTTCATCTAGCTGGAATTGACAAAGCACAAACAATTCCTTTGAAATGATGAACAATTATTATTAGGTTTTCATTTCTGATAAATTTGATCATTTGACACGAATGCATTTGGACCGCAAAGAGACACCGGCAAAACTATTCTTGAACCAGAATCGCATTGTTTTGAAAGAAGTTTGTTATTCAACGTAATTTGCTGTCAAACTCTGTTAGATGTAATGAATAAACTGATTAAAAAGCGGAAAGAAAGAGAGAGAGAGAGTGACATGGGAAAATAAATCAAGTGTCACTTTATTAATAGGTCGAGTATAAATTGAGTATGAAGTTACCACTGAATTATAGTTTCACATCCCCTGGGAGGATGTTTACAAAGAAAATACAGGCAGTATAAGAGTCAAATTATAGCTTCTGTTCTTAAATATTTTTTTGTGCAGGTATGAGAGTTGAAGGAAAGGTGACAACAACAGGGAAGAGTTTCTACGGAAAATAACCTCTCAAAGGGTCACTCCGTTTTTAGGATGGAGTTGTTTTGGGCTTTAAAAGGAATAATTCAGTCCAAATTCAATTCAGTTCGAAATCAACTGAAATCATTAAAATAAAGTATCATGTTAGATCAATGATCAGTTATTAATTATTGAAGCAAGAAGGCAACCCGTGAGAATATTAACGTGATGCTTCCTAACAAACTGACGAAAACAAAATGCTGGTGATTCTCAAAAACAATAAATGAGAAAAAAAAATTGGGAAAGAAAGCCAGATTATCTCTCCCAGACTTACTAAACGGTGCTCTCTCTTTGATTAATTTATTAATTAATTTATTATAATTTTTTTTTTTTTTTTTTTGGGGGGGGGGGAGGGTTCGGGGAAAGGACTACGTGTTTTCCCCCGAGATATCGAAACATCTTTGTAAAGAAAATATGAAAATGTGAATCTAAATGGCGAACATACAGTAAACTTATAATTAACATCCATGCATAGAGGACAGGAAAGATTAGACCTCCCTGCATGGTCACTGGCAGGTGGTTATCTCATCAAATCAGCTCTCAATTAACATAAGAATAAGGGGATCATGGGGGACCATCGGGTACCGCTTAGGAATTGTTTGCTATATAAAGGGCGCAAGTAGCTACAAGTAGTGCAGTCCTGCTTTAATACTCTATAATTATTCTTACAGTAAAACCAAGAACCTTCTGTAAGCGTACATGTTCCCGTTCTTGTGACCTCGTTTTTTTAAGTCACGGTTTCTATCTCCCGAAAGGTTTCTATTAAAGCTCATATCCATCAGCTACCGGAGTGGAAAACGTCTTCATGAAGGAATAGTCCATTAATGCAATTATATTTTAACACAACTTCCAAGCTAAATTTACCTGTCAACGTATAGTCGCAACAGAAATCAATCATGGCGTTCCCAATCAACGGAGGAAGTAAATATGATTAACTAAAAATAAGACATTTATCAAATATTTTTGCTTTTAACATCCTGACGTGGACTGGACGATTAGGTTATCTGATGAAACTACTCTACTTAAATTACTTAGTGCCCTGTTGACGGTATAACCGAGATCTATTTAAGTGTTGATAAAGATACAACTGGAAGGAGTTTTACTTAAATTGGAAGAAGAACCGGAAAATACAGTTCACGATCGGAAGATTTTTGACATTTGTAGAAAGCGAACGAGGCGAAATGGCGGTGTTTTGTGATGTGTTATTTAGAATCGTTCACAATGAATATAATGAAATAATACTTATTTGGGTGATTTTAGGTGATTAAGAGAATTAGAACACATATCCACCACGCAAAGTGCTCAAGGCGATTCAAAATCATCTCGGCTCTGCTAGTTACGAGAGTGTTTTTTACACCCTTAATTGCAAGTTGCAAGTTGATCCATAGCGACACCAACAACTAATCGTAATGTAGGTATTGCAGCACTAGTAACATCCTAGTAACAGTGGTATGCCAGAAATGCAAAAACTCATAGGAAGGATTATATATATTTTATTACATATTTCTTGAACATTAATTATTACATTACACAACACACATTAAGAAAGGTGGGCGTGGTTGTTTAAGGTATATAGCAATTCATACTTATAGACAACCACGAATTACACTAGAAAAGAAAATGGCTAAGTGAGGTTTCCAGCTAAAGTCATTTTAAGACGAAACATATCGAATGAACGAAGACTCTCTGGGCTCATGTAGTTGTCTCAAACGTTGTGAATTGTACATGCCATCTTATTTCCCATGCGTTGTAATGCTATCAACCATGAGTCAATTAGACGTTACGCACTGTCTCGTTCTTTACTTCCCATGGGTTATCTGTAATACAGACGTGAAACAGGACCAAACCAGATTCATTGATTTGGAACGTCGAACACGGAGATATCGAGTGAGACTTTGCTGGAAAACTCATCGGCATGGTCTACATGTCAATGGATCGAAGGAAGTAAATTACAACACTTGTCGCTCTGAGATAGATGATCGGTCTGTTGGTCCTTGAAGTATGACTTTTCCCGGTTAAGGCTACCATACTGGTATTTAACCCAGTATTGGACTATATCAAACAGAACGGACGTAGCTAAAAATGAATTGTTTGGACATTTCTTTCAAATGTATTCTTCTGGAATAGATGAGATGAACCTTCCATCATCGGTGCACTACGGGCAATAAAACACATTTACCCGCACAGACTTCCATTTTTATTGACACGCCACATACATTATTATGGTCATAACTGATTTCATGGAGAAAAAAAATGATATTAACTTGCTTTAGCTCTCCATTAATGCAACGTCCATTCTTTTATCTTCATATTGATTATTAAAGTCAATGGTGCTTACTTGTTTGCAAAGATAGAAAAAGGGAAATCGGAAAGATTTAGCTTAGTGCATGACAAAAGTGGATTCTATTGTATAGATTATATTGAAAAAATATACCCAACAGATTCCTATTGAAAAGTTATAACCTATTCGACCTTGAATTGTATTTCACTTTAAAGAGTAACTAATATTCTGTCTAATGATACCCCATTCATAACTATGTTGCCATGGATGACTATTAAGCATCAGCCTTTTCAACAAATGCTGTCAAAATCCTCTTGTACCGAGTCTGGGCTAAAGCAATGAATGTGGGTCAAAAGCCCTTTCATATTGTTATTTCAATCCGAAAACAATTGCTGACATATCATAATTATTCGCAATGATTTCGTGTATAAGAGACTCAAGAAAAGGCTCATTTACAAGCGAAATATATGACATTCCTTTTGTTAGAATGAGACAATGCTGGCTTATCTTGCCTTCCTTTTAATAAGGTACAGCCTTGTCATTGAGTCATTCAAAATGGGCAAAGTTTACTTGCTTGGATGAGCGTCTACTGTCTACAAAAAGTAAACCTCCAAGTTTCCATGTTCTGTTCGAGACAAACACCTAAATATTTCAAGACAGAACCATTGCGCTCGTCTTTCATAACTTCCTTTCTATATGATCAGAATGGTAAACATCAAGCATGACTAATGTGAACTTTTAGATTCTATCTAGGTTGCTCGTCATCATGATCACATGGCAGTTCTTGTTATCGACACCACACTGGACATTGACCACTCGCCCGAGGACGAGAATATGGGTCCCTCATCTTGACCTGTCTGGTGTCATTAGGAGAAATGGGCGGAAGATTGGTGCTTCTTGAAAGAAAATAAATCTCTCTCCCTCCCCCTCTCCTCTTTCCCTAACTCACACTCTTCCCCCCTCTCTCTCTCTCTCTCCCTCTCACTCTCTCTCTTTCTCTTGCTTTCTAATCATACATGTACATGTACTTTCCCTAGCATGTCACATTCCTTTGATTTATCCCTCTTCAGTTATTTCTGCATGACCTTTCACATTGCATGAATATAATTTCACCTTTTCTATCCAACCTCCCATTTATCCTTTCCCTTTTCCTTCTCTCTATCTTTCTCCGTATGTCCCTGTCTACGTGTATATCGCTTCTTGGTTTAAACAGGTTACTTCCAGACGTAACTCCTCTGTTGCCATGTTATTAATGACAGTACCGAGCATTTCTATAGCGCCTTCTCTTTACGATAAGACACAAAGCGCTTTAGGATTCGTGAGCGAGTTCCTACAGACAGATATTAAATTGTGTGTAACAATACATATTCAATTCATGCAGAATATATTCTTATATGATAAGTAATGTGCATTTTGTTGTTCTTATTTCATTTCAGATAACAAGATGTCACAAGACAAGATCTCGCGACGCTGATACAACATGAAAGAAGAGCGCTTTTCAGCCCGATGAACGTTAAAAATACCTACTACGCTTTCTTATCTTAAAGGAAAGATAACATACGCTTTATCAAGTGGTTGGATTGACTGAAGTGCACGTGTCGATGATTTTCCCGTAGAATGAATACACACTGATGTGAGTAATTTCTCGAAGAGACCCCGCGAAAAGACTCCAATATGGCGTCTGGATTAGGTAAATTAGGCGAAACTTATCTGAACATCGATCACGCGAGTACTTCTCCTCAACTGTTTAGTGAGGAGGATTACAGTGGTTATTCAGGCTACCCCATGAACGAGAGCAGCTTCAACGAAAGCGCAGTATCGCCCAGTGTCGTGAAGCGCCCTCTACGAGTGATCATACCAATAGTTACCGCCATGTCGTTTGTAAGCCTTATCACCTGCATTGGCAACGCCCTGGTGATCGTTGCGGTACGAACGGACCGACGACTTCGAACAGTGAGCAATTATTTCATTCTCAGTCTTGCTGTTGCGGACCTACTCATTGGAACCCTCGTGATGCCGTTAAGTATTATCTACTTTGTGGAAGGCAAATGGATACTCGGTCTCATCGTGTGCGAAACATGGTTAACCGTCGACTACGTCACCTGTACGGCTTCCATATTCAATCTCTTCATTCTCAGTCTCGACCGATACTGGTCAATCAGCTCCCCGTTAAAATACATGAAGAAAAGAACTCCACGTCGCGCCATGCTTATGATAAGCTTGGCTTGGTGTCTTTCTTTTTCATGGATCGTACCGGTTTGGGGCTGGCATTACTTTGAACGGGATGGCGAACCCAGGGGTGTCCCGTCCGACGAGTGCGACACGGAATTCGGCTCCAATATAATATTTAAAGTCCTGACAGCAATACTCAATTTCTACATTCCGCTAGTGTCCATGCTTTTCGTTTACGGGAAGATATTTTATGAAATCAAGACAAGGTCCAAAATGTGTGTCGGGCAAAGGTCTAGCGGTAACAAAAAATATTCGATCAGACACTCTGCTCATATGATTCCGTTACCCGTGGCGGTCGATGTGTGTCCAAACACTCCTTCAAATGAGGAACCGGAAGAAGCGGAAGAACAAAATGCTTCGTGGATACCAGACTACGATTCATTAAGCACAAGCAAAGACACCTCACAGGAATACGCTGACCAGAGCGAATCGTGTCCACCAAATATCGCTGCTAAACGTATAAAGAAAGGAGAGGTTGATCATCAGTTAAAGAACATCTCGCACTTAACATTAGCAACTATGGGTCTTGCGGGTATAGTAGGTCCAAGTATGATGGGTGTGCCCTCGGGGCAGCGGATACTTAAGAGGAAAAGGGCCGAAAAGGAAGCGCTCGCTATAAAGCAAGTAAAAAGAATTCTGCCTGAAGAGAACAACAGACCCAGAATAGAAACGATTCATGTTCCAATGATAAAAGAACCATCTAATAGCACTTCGAGTGGCACTGTTGATCCACAGTTGGACGGTGAGATCATTCAAATGAAAGAAATAAACGGTAATGTATCACATAACAAGTCCATTCTCCGGCAAGAAGAAGCGTTTTTATGTCCGGATCGTGCTCCAAATGGGACGGCGAAAAGGAGAATTTCATTTACTGTTGATTCGGTTGCATCCAAAGAAGAACTTGAACCATTGCGAAGAAACTCTTACGACGAAAGAAAGACAACAAGCCCTAAGTATCGGGGAGTTAGGTATAACAAAGAGAGCTCCAGCCCTACTCACCTTCTTCCAACTGATAATATAAGCCCGGATAATTTGTCTCCCAGTCGGGCAATACCTAAAGCTCAAGTAAAGAACGGTGGGGTCGCCGGTCGATTCTCCTTTGCAAGGTTTAGTATTCGGCATGGGAAAACAAGTGAGTTCCTACGGGATCGCATCAAACGCTTCTCGTTAAACAAAGAACGAAAAGCTGCCAAACAGCTAGGTATCATTGTCAGTTGTTTCATCACATGTTGGCTACCGTATTTCATCTCCTTCATGGTTATCGCTTACTGTCCGACCTGTGTAAACCCGAATGTCCACTATGCTCTGATATGGCTGGGATACTTGAACTCAACCATGAACCCCTTTATCTATCCATTGTGTAACAGTAACTTTAGGAAAGCCTTTAAGAAGATCTTCGGCATCACTTCGTGTAGATCTTCAACCAAACCCAAACCCCAGACCAGATCAATGTACAGAAGACCGAAAAACAAATGAGCTGCTTATAATGTCTTGAAACAAAATTATTCATTAAGTGCCAGATATCAAATTATGTAGATATATTTTTGCGAAGTAATTGATGTATAGGAAATTACATATAATATACCAATAAATCGGGTACAGCTTTACGTATTATAGCATTCACATATATCTCATATTTAAAAGGAAATACGGAAATCTTTCAGAACAAGATCTAAGAGTTGTAACAACGATGCGGTTGTAGTGAGGAAGCAACTAGGTGACGTCCACACAAATAAAACAGATCATAAAGTTGCTTAGAAACCATTTTTATCCAAATTTATAAGATTAACTGTCATTGCCATAGCAAAGTAGCAATTTAAGGGCTTGATACGAAATCTTTAAATGATATTCAAAAGAATTATTGCAGGGTTATTTTTACTTTTGTCAGAACCTTACAATGTTCAGGTATTATTTTGTCTGTATTCCCTTTGCAAAGTCAAACCTGGGCCCCGTCTTATAACGAATTGCGATTGATTCGAATCAATTGCAAGTCCTCCAATCAATCGCAAATTTGCAGTCTCCTATCTCTTATGTACATAGTTACGATTGATATCAATCGCAACTGTTTATAAGACCTGGCCCTGGTGTCTTTAATATTCGTAGTTCATTTTTTGTTGTATCATCAGACTATTAAACTGGTTCATGTGCATGTGTGTATTCCACAATGCCGTTATGCTAAAAGTAGGGTTAGATATTTGAAGATTGATGTTCATGCATTTTTCATAGGAACCTATCACGACCCTGACGTCGCATAGATTCCAAGGTCTTACAACATTCCCTCGCAACATAAACTGTACACTTTCTATAACCGACTGGAAACTATACAACCCTGACATCACGGGACGTACTATTCGTAACTGAACGGTCCCTAGACATATGACCTCATCTTACGACTACCTACTTCGGCTGCAGCCTGTGAGACCCATGGCCCACGAGACCAACAGCCAATGAGACAGAAATTTTGGTCTCATAAGCCTTTGAATTGTAACAGAAGCTCCATGGACCGACATCGACATCTCTTGGGATTCACCATAACCGACATTGTCCGTATTGTGGGCTGTCGTTTGACTGGGATATGTACCCCCGACTGACTTTACCTCATATGACCTGACTTCGTGTTACAAAACAGAGGTTTACTATGCAAATCAATTTTTTTAATCCTGAAGAATATACGGTTTAAAATTAGTAAAAAACTTTGTATAACATCGACAGGAGAATGTTTTATGTTCACCTTACATATTTGTGAATGACTCGCCGACTATCTTGAGCAGTCATATTTATGAATAAATACCACAATCCCTTTATGCTAGTTATAATTTATATTTTAAAAATACGTTGTTTTTCGTCAAAATAAAATGTTATAACAAGGGAAAAGAGACATGGGACATGATACTGACAACCAGACTGCTGACAACAATGTGATATCCATGTAGCGACAGGCTGATATAATGGTCGGACATCACTTCGAGGTCCAGATCATCATTTGACTTGACTCTAATCTTGCTAAATGAATATGAACTACCACACTTGAAGGACATGGACAATCACTGCTATTCCTACACGGACATCGTCATTTGGGAGCACTTAAATCGTTTGGAAATTGCTTTGATTTTACGTGTACGAGACGGACAAGAAAACCCTATTTTGTGCTACATCTACCCTAATTTCTAGACGACCAATTTCCATTTGATTTCATGAAAATAAATACTGATGGACTAAACATAAATGTTCGACAACATAAAACTCGATGCAGACGACAAATTTTATGATCGACATACTTTTTCTTATTAACCTTTAAATCAGGGCCAAGAGCAGATAAGCTGATCGTAGTTGAAAGACACGATGTCATGCAACCAAAGTTTCCATTAGAAAACGGGATTACTTACATTTAGAACAGAGGACAGATCTTACGACCGCAACATCTAAATTTACATCAAGGTCACGAAACCTCTCGTTTTTCACTGTTGATAATGTTCGTAATATAAACATATTTTTTTCATCGGATAAGCAGTATTCCATTTGAAAAAGATATTCATATGGTTTCGACGATGACACGTTAGGAGAGGACTTTTCTTTCTTTACACCCTTCATCACAAACACCGCTTACGTGACTTTACGTGACAAAAAAACTTGACTTTTTGACTATAGACTATACTGACGCTTTGACATTCATTCCATATTTATAAAATTACGTGGCACGTTGCTTATTACCTGAATAAACTAAATTATGCACTACTGACGTTGTGTACTACCTACTCCAGAGCCAATAAATGGTACAAGGATTTACCTCAAAGGTTATACGTGACCATGCTGACGAAATTAAAAGAGTTCGCCCACCCACCCTCTAATTGGTTCAGTAACAGTGCTCAAAGCTACTTTGTTTTCTGATTTAATCTGTTTAATTTGATTAAGAAGCGATGTAGATAAAATGTTTAGCTTGATCTAAACGTCAAATTAAAAGCTAACTTGGCTGTTGACTAGACAGTGAATTGTCAACTTAGATATAAACCGAACTGACCTAGACAAGACTTTCAAAGACGGGTAACTATCAATTATTTCGACCTAATTTTGTGAAAGGACTTTTAAATCTCTCTCCTGCGCATTCTACGTTGACTGACAATAACAACTGCACTGAGTCTTCTTGCCAATTCAATACTTAAACAATTGAAATCGGACTGTTCGACACTTGAACATCTGGAAATGAGGGAAATCTAGACAATATTGGACCAAAAATAAATGAGGTATGTTTCATATGAATGGCCTTAATATTAATGATATTCTCATATTTACACTTGGGAACAAGAGAAATGACAGACACCCAATGAGCTCTATACTGATAATGGTATACGAATGACGGGACAACCAAAACGTGACTTGAGAGACGCCACAAGAGTGACTTTTACATTGGACCGATCTTCCTTCGGAATGATCTCCTTGACAAGATGGTTTAAAAGCATGGACTGAAGAATATATGGACACCACTAAAATGATTTTCCAATTGTACATGACAATAAAGACAACTTTGAATGACCTTGGAAATGTGACTACATGTTTGTCTAGCTCTATTTCTTTGCCTGCAAACCGATTACGACAGCTCTCTGTTTGATGTGACGATGACGAATTAAACACATCCCCACTGGGATACAGGACTACATGGATACCACTGAAATAACTTACCGATGCAACAAGGCACATAGAGATGTACCCGAGTGATTTCTTAACGAGACCCATGAATAAACATGCACCCAAGTGGCTTTAAAATGGGACATAGGACTTAAGAGACACTCCAAAACTACTTCAAACGGGACACAGGACTTTAAAGACGACCCGAAAGTCACAGGATGGATACAGGCAGAGACTGGACCTTGAAGTTCTGAACACAACCATGAATAGCTTTCCCAGTAGAACAGAGGACTTAAGAGCCCATAATGACTTTCATCCATTGGATGATAAGGGGATGCCTTCAAAAAGAGTCTCCAATAAGGCAAATGACCGAAGAGAACTTCCCAAATGGCTCCTCACTGAGACAAAGGACAATACAGACACCTGATGGCTTTGCAGTAGGACATGGAACGGAAGAGAGGTATATAAAAGAATGGATCGCCAATTGGACTAACTACGTTAGATATCTCCTGAAAGAATATGGAAGAAGAGGACACCGGACTTTAGAGACTTTCGACTTTTCCTATCGGACATGATAGTGTACTGACACCGCCAGAGCGACTCCCAAAAATGACACAGGATTGTACCAAAGACACCGCAGGAAGACTATCTGGATGACTAGACCATGAATTGTTACCTGGGACACATACCACCCAATCGATTTTCAACTCGGACAATATTTATTATCCAAAGACAGGACGATGCCATCTGGACAATCACTTGTAGCATGACAAGTTACCATTGGACATCTGACACCGTGTTGTTAAACCCAATAATGACTTTACTCATAAAGTTTACCCCAAAATTACGAATTTAAACTCGACGTTGCAAGACTCGTCACCGGTACTCGGACGATATAGGGTACCTCTAAAACCGTTTCAACTAGACAATAAAGACTACAAAAACTACTAAGGAACGAACGCCATCTACAATTCACCGCTCACTACCAGACTTTCTAGAAAACATTGTAACCATTACTTTAATATGTAAACTTAACATACGTAATGAAATCAAATCAATGCGAAAAGACTTTTAGATAGGTTAAACTCTTATAAAGTTATGCTGCAATATTTATATATTCCGATTATGCCAGATGTAATTTGTAAACTACGGCCATAAGCACGTTCCCTTTTCTTGTCCATAATATTTTTAGCATTGTATTTTTTACTTCAATCATCTTTTATCATTATTATTGCGTTCGCACATTAGTGTTACATATTTATTTATTTGTGTACTTATTGTTGTCATTATTACCTTTTTATTGTGATGCGTTTTTATCTTTTGGGGTTATATATATATAAACTTCGTCGCAAATGCTTACAGAAGATTGTCTCTTAAAACGTTAAAAAGCTTCCCGCGTTGCCCAATAAAAAAGGTAAAACAGAACCGCATGCAATAAATCTACTTTTCTTGGCTTTTGCTGATCTTCCGAAGCATTTGCGACTCTGTTTGTGGTAGTGTTTGTGACTTTCAGTGGTATGTTAGCACAATACTATGACCTCTAAACCATCTTCATCAACACCATTATTTTTTAATTGAAATTGTCACTCATTTTAGTTGTGTTCGTAATACAGCTGTGTGTGCTTACCCCCCCCCCCCCCTTCTCTCTCTCTCTCTCTTTCCCTCTCTTCCTTAAGCTTTTTTCCTCCCCCCGGATCCGCCATTAAAAATCGGTAAAAACAAACTCGGCAGATGAACTCTTTATACTCGCATTTCAGATAGTTAAATATAGGAGACAACTACTCGAGTACATCTTCAGAGCATAAATATGCCCCCTATTCCTAAGTTAGCCATATTTACTTTGTACTTATCAAGCGTGTCCTAGTGCATTAAACTCTCTGCCTCCGCCCCCAGGTAGCCCCATGATTGACATTTATTAACCACGAGTATGTGAGTATATGCAGTACTCGACTCTTGTAAAGTTGGCATATTTTTGGTCAAATATATGCCTCAGTGCTCGAGAGCGGGCTGTATCTATTTTCCAAGATGATCTCGAAATATTTGAAAAGTAAAGTGGACTCTGTAAACGGAGCCGATACGAAGTTGTTATCTCGTGCGCTATCCCCTCCATGTATCACGAGATTTACATGACCGGCGATCCATATACTTGTGTGTTTGTCTTTAATTTATTGTGTCTGTATTATTTTGTAAGATATAAATAATGATGTTTGTGATGTGTGTTTCATTTGAATATGTTTAACGTAACGAAATGGCATGCAAATATGGAAAATAAAAGACAAAAGAAGATACGTTTTATACCAAATTCATGTGATTCAGATGTCATTTTATGTTTGCGTGCATATGGAATGATTTAGTTTAATTTAAATCTGTAGCCTATCATGAACTGACAAGACAGGACAAAGAGTAAAACAGAATTATATTTCCAAAGTATTAAACACG